TAAAGGCAGAAAACGAAAGGAAGTTCAAGATGAAGGCGAAGTAGGACGAAGTGCAACAAAGGGACCAGGTGGGAGATTAAGTTACGAGGAAGACGAAGGAGGACGAAGGCTTCCTGGGAGAAGAGCAGGATGAAGGCGAGGAGGAGGAGGATGAGTGTGACTGGTGTCCCATAATTTAATGGTGCCAACATCAGCACTCGGCTCCAGGTGTTGATGCCGCGGCGCTCACCGGACCGACAGTGATGAACAGACACCAACATGCTGAACTGCTGGAAACAACGTGAACTCCTCGGTCCGGCCATTACTCATCGCAGCAGAACCGCGCCGCGTTTTTACAGGACCGCGCCGCGTTTTTACAGAACCGCGCCGCGTTTTTACAGAACCGCGCCGCGTTTTTACAGAACCGCGCCGGCTTTCTACTGCGATCACACAAATAATATGACCGAAGGAAACCCACATGTCCTTAAAACTCAGCAGGAAAAACTCATTTCTGGAGCAGAACGCTGCCAGGAAATGAGTCATTTCAACAAAATGGTTTAATTTACGCAAAACAAGATCAAAATATGAAATATATTCATATTTATACACCCATAAAATACATTATTATTATTATATTCTACACATTTTATTCATCCAATTTTATTGTTTATATTTACATGGTTTTATTTAATTTCATCATTTCAAATGTATTAAACAAAATATTTATGTTTCACATGTTGACATTTACTTACTCTAATGAGTCATTTAGCTTTTTTCCTGTTTTTGGCCTCCATACAGGCGGTTCTGAAATCCTCTTTCGACCGCGCTTTGGTGTCTCGCGACCCTCTGATGGATCCTGACACCCATGTTGAGAACCTCTGGTAGAAAATCAACAAATGAGACAGAAATGATTCATTTGATTCAATTAATCATTTCAAAAAGTTTTCACACAAAAACAAATCATTTTTTTAAAAATTACATTTTTCTCAAAACTCATAAAAAACATAAAAATTCACTGTAAAAAGAATCCAGCAAGAAAACTTATTTGATCTTTCCTAAATTTGAAGCTCTGTTCACCTTTGAGATCACTGTGATGATTCTGAAAATCCCCTTTCGACCCCCTACTTCCTGTCTCGCGACCCGGTGGGGATCCCGACCCCTAGGTTGAGAACCCCGATCTAAATGGTCAGAAACCAAAAAATAAGAAACAAAATTCATTTATTTCATTCAGTGAATCTATTCAAAAAGTCTGTGTGATTTCAAAACCAACTAGTGATTAAAAATTATTACACATTTTTAAAATACTAAAAAAATGTTGAGACTAAAAATCAAGAGAATCCAACAGAAAAACTTTTATAATGAGAGAAAACATGTGAAAAACTGACAGAGAAAAATGAATCAGTAAATCTAAATATTACACAAATATAAAAATTATAACAATCACAGCCAATTCTGCTAATTTAACTAAAAACAAAAAGAAAGAAACAAATTCGGAAAGTGCTGAGTCACTGGTTGCTATGGCAACCCTGTCTAGTGAGGGGGGGGGAGATGGGGGGGGGGTGGCAGAGTCACGTTTCATCAGAGACCAGAAATTCATCCACTAACAAAGCGACTCTGTGTGTCAGAGCTGTAAGGATTTCCTGTAGCAGTCTGTATCACAGCGGCTCTGAAAACACAAAACTAAAAGTGCTGGGAGAAGCTAACTAAACTGTTAGCTTCATGAACCCATCACACTATAACGCTGTCTTCTGTAGCAGAAGCTACATTTACTGAAATGTTTTCTGCTGCATACCTCATTCATTCATTCATTCATTCATTCATTCATTCATTCATTCATTCATTCAGTCATTCATTCGTTCATTCATTCGTTTGTTGTATACTTACCATTTTCCAGAGGAAATGAAACTTCAAAATAAAAGCAATACTTAACTACTTGAGAATCCTTAACAGTCAAAAATGAAAACAACACAGATGTTGAACTTTATTCAATTTAAAGTTTAAGAAACAACCAAGGAAATTTACTATGAGCGAAATATTAGCTACACTGTTAGCGCATTAGCGGAAGTGGTGCCACCATTTTGAAACAACTTCAAAATAATATTTAAAATTTTTTCAAACTGAATATTTACAGAAGATCCAATTAAATTAAGCTTTATAGTTTATTAGGAAAGATTTATCTAAGGGGAGCTAAGCAATTTCAAAGTTAGCAAAAGCGCTAAGCTAAAAATTAGCTGTACCATTAGCGCAGTAGAGGAAGTGTTTCCTTCACTGTAAAACTGAATTTAAATTGTTTTAACTTATTGGTTAAAATAGCTCAACACACAGAAGGAGGTTTTTTGTTTCTGTTTTGATGCTCAGTGTTCATCTTCTCCTCCATCGCCGGGGTTTAATCCCTCTGTCCCCCGGTGCCGGGTCGCCCCCCCGGTGCCGGGTCGCCCCCCCGGTGCCGGTTCCCCTGCAGCCGGGTCGGCCACAATGCTGGGAGCCAGCCAGCGCCGCAGACAGATGGTCCACTTATTAG